AGCTGCTCAGATACAAACTGAACAACTTTCTTCCAAGTCAAAGACTACAAACTGCTTTGACTGGAGTCTGCATACTGCTGCTAGCACAGGGGTAGTTTTTCAAGTGTTTCATTCTGTGCATGCTAACTAGGGATGATTTGGTTATTCACAGCATGATTTGGTTATTCAGCTTTATAGCATCAGGAAAAACTGGGTACAAAAGAGAAAAGCACCCATGAGAGAGTGACCTGCAAGTTCAAGCAGCCCCTTCCCTGTTCATCAATCTGTAAAGGTCAGCAGCCACTGCAGAAGCTTGTAACACTCCCAGTCAGATTCCGTCCCAGGACTCCTTCATGTTTTTTGGGTCAAAATGTTAGAAAGCAACAAATAAAAGGGACTGAGAGCTAAACCTCACAAAATGAGATTGAACAGGAACAGAGGAAGAGGAGCTGGGAAAGCAGCGTTGCTGCTCAGCATCACAACAAAGAGCAGCTTCTCCAGACAGTGATGGCTCAAAAGATTACCAGTTCCAGCCTGCCTTGGCTCATCCACCTAGGCTGTATTCTTTTGAACTGTAACCTCAGGAAAAATAAGTAAATTGTCCTGAGAGTGATCTAAAAAGTAAAAGCAACTTCACTGTAGAAAAAAAGAAAAATACCCTGAATGTGAATCCATACACTTTCTCCATTTAAATGCATTTAAAATAAATTAATTCTGTGTCTCAAATAGAGGGTTCTAAGACCTCCTCATTCCTGCTATACGAATTATGGAAGCAGAAAATACATTTGTATTTATTCAGTTTAGTTTCAAAGAATTAAAGATAAGGTCTTGTATAATTTTGCTTATTAAAAATACCAGGGCTGCAACAGTTCTGATAGTTCAGCTCATATTAAAATAATAAAACCAAAATAAATAGTCCTGACAGTTCAGCTCAAATTAAAAAAAAAAAAACAAAACCAAAAAAACCCACAAAAACCCAGAAACAGATACCTCAGCATCCAACCCCCTAATAGGAATGCTGTTCTTATCACAAAATACTTGGTAAGTTATTTGCACACCTCAATGAAAAGGAAATAATAGAAAGAACTTCATGTGAAATGCCAAAATAGATCTGATTTCTCATCACTTGGCCTTGTAATTCTCCTGTAGTTCGTAAAAATAAACTAGTCTATACCTGGACTTGAACTTTTCAATACAGCCTAGAATATTAAGCTCAAAAATTTCCTTTATTTGGGGCTCAGGCAGCTCTTAAAGAGCATCATCAACTTTGAATTTTTGCAATTTATAAAACACACCAAAAAATACAGGCCATGAAGGAAGTTCCGGATTCTTGGGATTTCCTCTGGTCAAGCTGTTCCCAAGATGTATTAAAAGTCTCTTTTCCCCAACCTGGCTGTCGAAGAAGAAATCAGGAGTCTTCGGCTGTCGTTCTCACAGTTGTTTATTATTTCTTATCTAAAACATTTTCTGTCTGGCCTGCCGAGGTCTGTTCAGCAGGTCAGTCCGAGGCACACTGCTCTGCCCTGAGGCAGTGCTATCTCTTTATACTAAAAACTACGTGTACTTTATTACAGTTATGTTCCAGTACCTGTCACCTATGTTAGACAGTGACTTTCTACTTTACACCAATCCTAGTGCTACCATCACCCAGAAGATGGAGGCTAGGAAGAAGAAGGAAGAAGAACAGGACAATGCCCAAATCCCTCCATCTTGTCCCCTAGACCCCGAAAGTAAAATTCTTCAAAATTCCACCTTTCACCCTCTGACAACTACTGTTATGCTACTTAAACTTTTGTGACCATTAATTGTTCATATAAAGTTGGTAATTTGCTCCATGGATTGAGATCGAATTCCCAAGTGTCTTTGGCTTCCTGCCAGAACCTCCGAGCCCCTGCCAGGAACTTGGGCCATCCAGGGCACCCAGAGGGATGTCCTGGGTTCTGACACCAGATAGCATTCTATCAAGGAAGATTGTGCTTCCGAAAAAGAGTGTGCTGTCAGCTGTGCAGTGATAAGGCAGTACAGAAACAGCCTCTGCGCTGCAGGAGACCACAGTTACTACATTTTAAATTTTAATTATGTGATATGCTTGTTGCAGAAGCTCTAGAAGACCTCATGCATCACTGCTCTGTGGGGAAGGGAGTGGAGAGAGGAGCAGCTGTCCTTCTCTCCAATTTGATATTCCAGTGGTGCTGTTGGGTGCTGCTGGTTTGCAGGAACAGTCGGCTGGAGGAGATTTGCCTCTACCAGGGAGGAGACGTTTGAAGGAGCCCAGGTGCCACCTTCTCCCATTGCTTCACCAGAGGGAAATACTATCTGCTGAGTTTGCACTTTGGTTCTATCACCATCTGTAGCTGTTGAACTAATATATTCCTCCTCACCTCCCTTTCTTACGGAATAATTAAAAGAAGGAGAGGAGGAGAGGATGGGGTTGAGTGCCTAATGGTGCCAGAGTGAAGGAACCTGATTTGCTTCATGACACTGCCAGTGCCTTGCTGCACAACCTTAGGCAAGGCACCTGATTCCTTTATGCCAGAGCATTCTTATATTTAAAATTAGATAAGAGCACCACCTTCCTCTGCAGGATGCTTTAAGATCCTGAGAGGAAAGGCAAAAGGTTGCCTGCCTTCAGTTGCCTTTTGGGATGCAGCACAGCAGGACCCAAACTTTGCTTTAGATACAGCACTACAAACTTTTGAAGCTTTGCCAGCAGTTTCCTGAGTTTGCAGACAGACTAAACCCAAATTCCTGAGGGTTAAACTTGAGATGAAGCAACATGAATTTTGAATGCCATCTTTTTAACCATGGACCATACACACACACACACATCCTACCGAAATCAAGTGTTTGCCTTCTTAATCTTAATTGTACCGTACTGCTTCCAACCAAACTGCCAACATCTTCATCCTCTCTCTGGCAATGCTGCCTTGGGGGCTTCACTGGGGAGGCAGAGCCAGCTTTCCATCCACAGAGATGTGGTCATGGAAAGATGGAAGGATCATCTTGCAATTTCATTGCACAAAGCCAGGCTTGGATACCGGATAGATACAGGCAGTCAGACAAGTTGGAGCAGCTTGACCTGTGGGGAGCATAAGATGCCTCTTCACATCACAACCTGCTCTTCCTGTACTGTTCTTTGCCAAAAGAAAATAGGTACAAAGACATTCTCATAGGAAACACATGTAAAACAAGACGAAAACTAAATGGGAAAGGCAAAGAACTACCGGTAAAGGAGTTGGACACTTTCTCACTATCTCATTAATCCCAACAAGGAATGGTCTGTTCTTCCAACTTTCTACCAGCCTGATGAAAGCAGCAAGGCTTCTTTTCCTACTCTCCTGAAGGGTTTTTTAAAATTTTGAACCTCCCAGAGTCAAAGCTGAATCACAGTGTCCTGTTTCACATCCCCTTCCTGCTCAACACCCTATTATTCCGGGGCAGTGTGAGCTGTCAGGGGTGTCCTGAGCACCCCCTTTGCTAAGGTCATTTTGTTCTCTTACAGGACTGCCACTGCTGGACCCACCTTCCTCTGACCCAGAGGGGATGATGTTTTTAGGCATAACCAACCCACTGAACACAAAACCTGCACACCTTGGGAACACTTTCCTCTGCACAAAGCACAGCGATCCAGCACTTCTAACACATCCTGAGAGCAAAACACCTTGCCCTTGGAACTGGCCGTGCCAGGCTTTGCCATTGGGCAGGAATATGCAGCTTTAAGGTAAGGTGGCTGTGGCCAGGAAGCAAATGCAGCCTGTTCCCATCACCCCTATCTCACGTGCCCTTATTGCAACACGCAGTGGCCAGCTCGGTTTGGAATCCTTTGACCTGCAGCAATACAGGAAAGGGGCGCTGGCAGCAGGAGCATGATCCCTGTGATCTTCAGCTGCAGGAATGCTGGCAGTCGGTGGTCCCTCAGCCCACTTCCTCGCGGGACAGGAGGCTGCACATCACACACCACCACCGCAATTAGCTGAGTTACGCACCTAGAGCAGGAGCAGGATTTCTTCCCCAGGACTGGTCCTTCCGTGGCAATACAGCAGAAGCTCTCACGGGCACTGCCCACACCGAGCCTGTTACTCTAGAGGAAAAGAGGACATTAGGCTACATAATTGCTCCCTCGCTGTTTGGTGTGCCCCAGCTCCGCTGTTTCTAACAGCAGAGTGACAGGAGCTAGGCTGCAATGCCACGACTCCGTTCTGTTCCACTGACTGGAGCACAAACCTTATCCAGGCAAAAGCCCTCTCCACACGGCACACCGATTTTATTGGCTCTAAAACTCCCTCGGAAGGTACAGCTCAGCTTTCAGGTTTGAGACACCTTTCTTTCCTTGCCCATTATAGTAGTTTTTTAATCACTTAGAAAAGCCTAGGTCCATGAACCCTGTGATGCAATCAGTGAAAATCAGTGCCATAACCCTGCGTTTTATTACTATTTTTCCCATCTTCTAATTTTAATCCGCACTCCGAGACCGATCCCGTTCCCATCAAAGTACACAGCAAGCTCCCATTAAAATCTGGCTCAGCTAGTATTTTAATAACACTTAGACATTCCCGTCCTTTGCATATTTCATCTGCAAAGTGCTTAACAAACACGAATTTCCTAATTACAGGCGGATGATTTACTAAAACTGGAAATTCCTCACTACTTCTGGCTTTCCCTTTGAAGCTCCAGGATTCTCTCTTGTCCCTCGGCGCTTCGGAAGGTCCCCGACGCCGCTCGCTCGCTCGTTCACGGCACAGGCAGCGCACGGACAAGGAGGACGCGGAGGCGACGGCGACCTGCCCCGAAGTGTCCGCGCCGGCGGAACTCCGCGCGGGCTGCGGGGCGTGAGCCGCGGGGCGCCCGCCTGGGGGAGCGCACGGGCGGGGTGCCGCGGGCGGGGAGGGGACGGCAAGGCATCCCGGCCGCGCCGAAGCCGGGCGGACGGGCAGCGCCGCGCCTCCGCCGAGCGCTCCCCATGGAGCGGCTGCCCGGCCAGCGCTGAGCCCGCGGCCCCGGCCGCCCGCCCGCCGCCGCCCCCGATGGAGCCTGAGGAGCGGAAGATCTCGGTGTGGATCTGCCAGGAGGAGAAGCTGATCTCCGGGCTCTCCCGGCGGACCACCTGCTCGGACGTGGTGCGGGTACTGCTGGAGGACAGCCACCACCGGCGGCAGCGCCCGGCGCCGCCCGAGCCCGCCGGCGGGATGCTGTCGGGGCCGCCGCACTCCTACTGCATCGTAGAGAAGTGGCGCGGCTTCGAGAGGATCCTGCCCAACAAGACGAAAATCCTGCGGCTCTGGGTGGCGTGGGGGGACGAGCAGGAGAACGTGCGCTTCGTGCTGGTGCGCAGCGAGGCTTCGCTGCCCAACGCCGGGCCGCGCAGCGCCGAGGCGCGGGTGGTGCTGAGCAAGGAGCGCCCCGGCCGCGGCCTGGGGGCGGCCCGCGCCAGCCTGGCGCTCACGCAGGAGCGGCAGCGGCGGGTGGTGCGGAAAGCCTTCCGCAAACTGGCCAAGATCAACAAGAAGAGGCAGCAGCCGCTGGCTCGGGAGGCCTCGTCGGCGGAGAGGATGGAGACGCTGGTGCACCTGGTGCTCTCGCAGGACCACACCATCCGACAGCAGATCCAGCGGCTCCGCGAGCTGGACCGCGAGATCGACAGGTACGAGGCTAAGATCCACCTGGACCGCATGAAGCGGCACGGCGTCAACTACGTGCAGGACACCTACCTGGTGGGCACGGCCGGCGGCGAGTCCGAGCCGGGCCGGGAGCCGGGCCAGCCCGCCGCCGGCCGCCCCGAGGAGGACTACGCCAGGAAGTGCGAGGAGGTGCTGCAACTGCAGGAGCAGCGGGCGCAGCAGGAGGAGCTGCTGGAGCACCTGGCCGCCGAGATCCAGGAGGAGCTCAACGAGCGCTGGATGAAGCGGCGGCGGGAGGAGCTGGAGCTGGCAGCGGGGCCCGGGCTGGCCGACACGGACTGCGACACCACGGAGCTGAGCGGCGGCGAGGGCGAGCTGCACCTGGAGCACGAGCGGGTCAAGACCCAGCTGAGCACCAGCCTCTACATCGGCCTCAAGCTGAGCACGGACCTGGAGGCCGTCAAGAGCGACCTGGACTGCACGCAGCGGGCGTGGGAGGACAAGGAGCGGGAGCTGCAGCGCCTGCTGGAGACGCTGGGCACGCTGGACGTGGCGGAGGCGCCGGCGGAGCCGCGCGGGGCGGCGGGCGGGGGGCGGCCGGCGGCGGCGGGCGGCGGCTGGGTGGAGCAGGCGCGGGCGCTGCGCAAGGACCGCGCCGACAACGACGAGGACTCGGACACGGGGCTGAGCTCCATGCACAGCCAGGACTCGGACTCGCTGCCCGTCTGCGAGTCCCTCGTGTAGCGCCCGGCCGGCCCGCCGCAGCCACCCCGGGCGCAGGGCGGGCGGAGCGGGGTGCCGGGGCAGAGGGCGGCGGAGGACTGCGGGCAGGTGTGGGGCAGGCGAGGAACCTCCCGGCGCAGGAGGCAGTCACACAGAGGAAACATTTTAATTTGAGCTCTGGAGTTGGAACTTGTTCTGACTAGTCATCCGCGGGCAGCGTTTAGGCTGGCTCGCCGGTACTTTTATCTAAGGAAGAGAAAACCCGCAGCGTGTTTGTGTTTCATTCACGTCTGGGATTGCTCGCTCCTTAAATCCTGCCGCTTGCTTCTCTCCGAAGCTTCTCTTGCCGGGCTTTTTAATGCTCCGGCTGCCCACGATGTCTCCGCTGTAGTCCGGGGCTGCCCCGGGTGAGCTCTTCACGAGCAAAGGGCCAGGACGCGCTCCTGAGCGGGGATCAGCATCTCCCGAACAGGTTCTCGGCATTGCAGAGTCAGATGGTGGCTTGTGGTAGGTTATACTGGGCTCTACTGGCCGTCACAAATACACCCGGCTCCTTTACAGGCAAAAAAGTCGCTACAGCAAAGCTGCTGATCATTTAAACACTACGGAGGAGAAGAGGCGTCAGTCCTACTGACACTGGGATCTCCCAGGGCGCCAGCTTTTGGACGGTACTGCAGTTCCTTTTGGCAACGAAAAGGGGTGATAAATCACTTCCTTTTTTTCTTTTTCTGAACAACAAACTAAATCAAGATATAGGTTAACATGTATTAACTCTGCTCTGCGTAGTGCTTTTCCTTATGCATAGATAAGAGTGCTTTGTTTAAAGGCATACTAAGAAATCTGTTAGTATCTGTAGTCGTTTGACAGTCATGGAAGGCAATTAGCAGTGCCTGTATGTACACAGCCTTCAACTACATTTTTTTCACTAGGCTAGCTGATCTTTGGCTCAGCTTGGTTGTAGATAAACAAAGTACAAAATCAGGTTGAGCACCGTTTTTAATAACATAGTTCATATCAGGCCAAGAGATGCAACGATAAAAGCATGACTCAAGCCCTACCTGCACTACAGCTTAATCTTTTCAGTTATTCCAATAAAACAAAAAAGCAGCCATCAGCTGTAACATGCATTTCACTTAACTGCCAAATCTTCCTCTGCAGCTTAACTCTTGCCCAAAATAAATGGTCTGCTCTTGCAGTAAGAGACATTCAGGATTCTTGTATTCCAGAATAATTGCAGAAATACTTTAAGCGTTGAGGGACCAGAGAATGTTGAGTCAGGTCCGATGGTGTGGTGTGAACTTTTTAAAACTTCTGAGATTATTATTTATGTAAGACTATTTATAAAAGTTTTGATTTAACAATAAGAAATCATATAGAAAAAGGGGTACGCCAACAGACCAATTCTTTATTTTCATTAAAAATCTTGCAGCCTTCTCACCCAAAGTCTGCGTTCCATGCTTGCAGTGTTCTTGTTGGTAAGAATTCTGTTGGACATCAGAAAATTAGGTTCAGGAGCTGCTCAGTTTGAAGTGCAAGCAGAGAAATATTGTCTTTGGATTTGGAGAGGCTGTACAATTTTCTATATGCTATGACTCTTGATAAATGTTATTCCACTGAATGGGTCTCATTTGTAACAAACTGTGGTTTATTTTAAACACTGACTATATAATTGTTTTTCATATTTAGTCAACCTTGGAAAATATTTAAGAACCTATTTTTAGAGCTAATAAAACTCTTAATAAAGCTAAACTAGTGTTCCCACTTGAGTGTGATTTAAAAATCATGCCAGGACTGAGATTCTGTGGTGTTACCTCGTGTGCAAGACAAGTAGAAAGATACACCAAGGGATGATGGCATCGTCCCTTCACTTTCTGATGGCACGAGGGACTCCCTCAGGTACAAGTAGCAGTGCACTGTCCTCAGCTCTGGCCACTGCAGGGGCACTGCAGAGGCATTTAGAAGCATCAGCATACGTCCAGAGTGAGGAATTTGGATTTTTGTGGAAGCAGAGCCGAAGAACAACTGGGGAGGGGGAGCCCCACTGCTGTAAGGGGTGGATGTAAGGGGTGGGTGGTGCAAGGACCTGCTCACAGCTTCCCCAGGCACCGATGTGAGCAATAAACCTGAGCTGGCTTTGCGCAAGTTCTCCATTACCACGCTGCGCAAATAAGAAGAGAGCAGTTGTAGAAACGAGCGGCACATGGCTGGGCGCTGCTAGAGGCACCAGGCAGTCTGTGCAGCACGAGGTGAAGGCAGGCAGGGAATTCAGACTTGTAAAGCAGAGTCTGCCTACTCATCCTCACCCAGGGAAATGCATCAGGTCTTTCCTCTAGGCTGCTGAGGGCCATGCTCGTGGGCACCTTGTGGTGCTTGCTCCTGGCTTCTCCTTAGCCCAAACAAGATCATGGCCCTGCAGAGCTGCTGGCCCCTGCCCTGTGAGGACAGGGCTGAAAACGCTGCAGGTGGCACTGTACTCTCAAGGGTTTGGTGGGAGCTAGAGTGAATTCTTAGGAACACCTATTGGAGTGTGTTCTTATATCATGCAGGTGAAATCTGGTAAATTTATTTATGTTTAAACAGTTACAAGTGCAAGAGGCTCACAGATTGAACTCCAACATCCTCACAAATCCCTATCGCTCTCAAACCATTATTAAAACATTAATGTAGTAGAGGAAATCACTGTTTGCATTGGACCAGGCACTTCTCCCTTCCCTTCTTCTGGGCTTGTATATCCTCACTCAGATAATAGACACAAGCTACAGGATGCTTGTCAGGGAATTTGGCTCTGGGGTTTTGCTGGGCACATAGCCAAGGGTTAGGAGAGCTGATTCAGAATCACAGGTAGAAGGGCAGAATTTTTATCTCCTTTGCAGTTCAGACAGAATGGGAGAGGGAGATAGCAGCAGGAAAAAACACTGACCAACACCATGATGGAAATCTACCTTCCGGCACCACCAAGAGAAAGATGAAAGATCCAACAAACACAGGCTTTGGGGATATTTTAATACCATTCTCTTCTATCTTTCAGAGTCAGTTCCAACCTAATCTTTCTGTCTTCCTAAGACAGAGATAGACAGCCGTGAATTAAATAAAAACCTAACAGCACTACAATTTATGTAAATTGTGTATGGTATCAGGTTGCTCTATCTATTGAGCAGCCTACTTCTCAAAGGAATCATCATGGACTGAGGCCACCTGGCTTTTCTCAGAAAATAGCTCCAGAAATCAAAACTTTTGTCCAGGAGATATAAATCACAGTAGCATCAGGGCTTAGTTTCAGGCATCCTTTAAGCAAGCACAACAAAGCACTCCTACACAAGTAGGTCCTGTGTGTTTGCTGCCTTTGGCCACGTTTTTTCTGACCCTACATGGCACTTTCTGTTGTGCCTATACAGGAGTTCATGGGACCAGGTAGCAAAAAAAAAAAAAATCCCAAAACTTTAATTTAGGTGAGGCCCTGATGGGGCTCGATGCACAGTCACACAAATGTTTTTGGCAACGACAAGGTACGGTGGTAAAAATGAGAAATTGAAAGCCCTTGGAAAGGTGGAACTGATCCTTTCAGCAATGGGCACTGTTTTGTGCTGACTCGCACGCTGGCAAAACTTCCTTCAGGCTGTAAATATGCCCCACTCACAGTCTAAGTGAAGGTTTGGAAAGTGGAAAACTGAGGCTGGAGCTGAAACTTATTTGACATCAATTACACTCACCTATATTAAATCCAAAATAAGCCAAACAGTGCAGCTCTTAGCCTTGACCCTGTTTCAAAAACCCACTATCAAGCAATATTATCAGAATGAAAACTCTGCGTTGAAATTGATATATTTCTAGTTCTTAGCCTGTGTAAGAGATCTGCCAGTTTGAATAAGCACTTTGTGGGAATATCATTTGATGCCCTCAAGACGGGAGGAAAATAACATTTACTGTAATGAACACCACTGACATGCAAAATGAATGACCTATTAATTATTGCCATAGATTCCAAACCAGCATGTAGGCAGCCAAATCACAGTCTGGTTGTTTTATGGTGACAGATCCTTTTCCAAGGAGCCTATGGTTCAGGTTTCAGACAAGATACAGTCAAAGGAGGAAAGCAGGTAGGTGGGTGGGAGAAAAGGAAAACATGTCATTAAGCTTTATTATTAACTCCTTGCATGAAATATATGTTCCAGGTTTACTTTAAAAATAACCTGTGTTCCTATGTCTGGAGACACATGTGCAAAAATCAACCTCCCTCTCAAGTTCTACACAACTTCAGGATTTTTTCTCCCCTCTTTAATTTTCACTGAGCTGGGAATGTAGCTTAACACATGAAAAGAGCAGCAGAGGCCTTGAAATAACAAGTCTGGTGAGCTGTGCTGGTTAACGAGTTAAAATACAAGCCATTGTGGATTGTTGGGAGCAGTTGTCCTTTGAAGTCACTTGATATTATTGCTCCTGAGCTGGCACACAAAGTTTAGAGAAACGAGCCTGGCAAAATGCAGGGAGGGAGCCTACATGGATGTCACTCCTTTTCTATAAACTCTCATTGCTGAATGAACTTGGAAGCTTAACAGGAAAGGAATTAATAAAGTCAAAGCAAATCTTGGTTCTGTGTGCAAATTAGCCAACTATCTTCAAATAGTCAAATGGTATTTTGAGAAACACGGCCCCCATTATCATTCCATGCAGGATGGATTGTCACACACTGTCACATGCTAAATGACACACAGAGCTGGCCACTGATTCCTTAGAGTGTAACAGCACTAATTCTGCTGGGGCATTACAGTGTACCCCCAAAATACAGCTTCTGCAGGCTTTACACACTCCCTTCATATCAGCTTGTTTACACTTCAAGCTTTATTTGGAAAGTTTTATCACAATCCCCTTACCTCAGTTTCAAAAATGTTCCGGAAAGTCATTGATGTTCCATGAAAAAACAGCTTCCACTCCCAATAACTTCTTTCCTCCTTCCTGCCAACCTGCTCCTCCCCTGCTCTGAATTTCATGAATAGTTTTGTTCAGATTTTCAGATTGCTGGGACTCCAGAGGGGAGGGGAGGGGAGGGGAGGGAAGGAAGGAAGGAAGGAAGGAAGGAAGGAAGGAAGGAAGGAAGGGTCTTCTGTGTCTTGACAAAAACTCTGTATTTGTGTAGTACCTGACAAGCTCAGCAGTATTTTTGTAGTTGCCATATGGGTTAAGGACATGCTCCCACCAGCTCTTTGGTGCTAGTCTTGCTCAACTTCCTTGTCCCCTCTCCCCCCACCTCTTTTTAATCTCCTTTTAACGCGTTTCCAAGGTACTTTTGGAATTTTCCCCTTCTCCTGCTTGGAGGCGAGCACTTCTTGCACAGGAAGGGGGCACATCTCCTCAGGTGACATTCTGGGGCGACATTGCTGTGGAGCATTGGGCTGGGAAGATACAGTTTCTATTGAAGAATAAG